TCAGCAGCACGAGACTCCTTGAACTGTGTCTCAGAGTCGGCGCACTACTGGGCAAACTGGAGGGGCTACGCGGATGAAAAGGCACTCAAGCTTTCAATTAAACTGCAACACAACGCGGATCAATTTAAACACTGTATTTCTCCAATTACCGATAGTGTGGATTGTGTGGTGTTGTGTTCGATTTTCTTGACACATACCCTTGATGACGATGGCGACTACGACGACTGCAGACCAGCGAGCGCTCGCTGTGGTTCCGGAAAGATCCTTAAAGGCCGATCTTGTCGGCAAGATGGCAGTACCACCGCTCGGTGAAATTGCGGTACAATTCCGACAATGGCGGACGAAGCATGGCTGACCGAACATCGGCCGTAGTGCGATGGCGGGTTGGTTTTATCGGGCTGGTATAGCGGTTTGTGGAGATGGTTCCGATGCACAGGCACTTCCTTCTGACGAAGCCGGTCGACGACGGCAAGGCCGCCCTCTGTCGAACCGGGAAGAGAAATTCTCCTTGGCGTTTAGGGCCTTCAGCCCGAGAACGATGTTCTTTACGGTTAGGTCAAGGTAACTAAATGTCACCTAGACCGTAGCGTGCAATGGCGGTCTTTGACTCGCCAACCAGAAAACCATTTGATTGGTTGAAAAGAAAAGGTTCTAGCGAGGAGGTAACATCCATTAGTGCCTTGGACCAATTTAGAGGATGTCTTTGACTTTACCTGAATCAGCTGAATTGGTTATTTCCACTTCACCTTGATTCACTACTCGCACTGTATTCTGTTAAAATGTATTCCACGGACACTTCTGGTCTACACGCTTGCCTGAGATAAAGTGAACGATGGCCGTTCTCTAAGCATCGCAGAACCCTTCAGCTCATCACCCGTGACTCCGTGTCACCATTTTGCCGCGGCCATGCGCGCCTTATTCAGCAGTCGGCCGTTAAGCATGGCCGTACCGTCTGCCCAGTGGGTTTCACCGCAAGTGTTACACAAATTTATTTTAATGCTCGATCACATGGTGCATATTTCAAATAATGTATTGAACCTTTGTAACAGAACGGTTACAAAACGTTGGTTTGAGCACTTTGAACAACTTCTCGAAGTTTCAACGGTCAACCAACCATCAACATCTCGGCATGATCCGCCAAGGGTGAGGCGCGTTACTCGCGTCAACACTGAAGCTCCATCATTGCAGGAGATAGAAGCAGCCATCCGAAGTATGAAGTCCAACAAAGCCCCGGGGGTCGATCGCATATCAGTAGAGATGCTCAAAGCTGACCCCATGCTATCCTCACAAATGTTGCATCAACTATTCGTCAATATCTGGGACACCGCGACTTTTCCGGCCGACAGGATGCAGGGCGTCTTAGTAAAAGTCCCCAAGAAGAGGGATCCAACTGTATGCGACAACTGGCGAGGCATCATGTTACTGTGTATTGTCCTCAAAGTTCTGGGTAAAGTTATCCTCAATCGGATACAGGAGAAGATCGACGTGACTCTCCGACGACAGCAGGCAGGATTCCGTGCTGGAAGATCCTGTGGGGACCATAGTTTCACGCTCCGCATCATCTTGGAGCAGGTCAATGAGTTCCAAGAGTCCCTGTACTTGGTATTCATTGACTACGAAAAAGCTTTCGACCGACTAAACCACGAAAACTTGTGGGGCGCTCTGAAACGCTAGGGAGTCCCTGATTAGATCGTCAACCTCATCGAAGCGCAGTACGAGGCTTTTTCTTGCAGAGTGTTGCACAACTGAGCCTTGTCTGACCCGATTCGGGTAATCGCGGGTGTGAGGCAAGCATGTATATTATCACCGCTACTGTTCCTCATCGTAATCGACGAGATCATGGTTGGAGCTTTTGACCGTGTACCGAACCGTGGATTGCTGTGGCAGCCTATTACTATGGAGCATCTCAACCACTTCGATTTGGTTGATGATGTTGCGTTATTAGAATAACGGCGCTCTGACATGCAGAGTGAGCTCGACGACCTTGTGGAACGCTCCTCTGAAGCAGGTCTAACCATCAACGTCAACAAGCCCGAATCGTTGGATGTCAACACGGAAGCCGTTCCAATTTCACGGTAGCTGGGCAGTGGAGATTGTCAAAAGCTTCCAATATCTTGGCAGCCAGATAGCGTCAGACGGCGGCACCAAGAGCGACATAGGTGCACGGATTAGGAAGGAGAGGGCTGCTTTTGCCAGTTTGCGAAATGTATGGAGAGCGAATCAGATCAGTCGACGCACCAAAATCCGAACGTGAAGTCTGTGCTGTTAAACGCCAGTGAAACATGGTGTGTATCAGCGGAAAACACTCAGAAGCTGCAGGTGTTTATCAACCGATGTCTGCGGTACATAATTCGTGCCTGGTGGCCCTACAATTGGATCTCAAATTCCGAGCTTCATCGTTTGTGCCATCAGAAGCCGATAGAGACAGAAATTCGTGAGCGGAAGTGGAGGTGGGTCGGCCACACACTACGACGGAGCGGAAACAAAATCTGCAAGCAAGCACTGGACTGGAATCCAGCAGGAAATCGCAGCAGAGGCAGACCCAGAGGCTCGTGGCGGCGGAGCCTTAACAGTGAAATTAAGAACGTTGACCGAAATTTGACTTGGGCACAGGTCAAGGCCAAAGCTAGTAATCGCCCAGGATGGCAATATTTCACAAAGGCCCTTTGCACCCCTGGAGGTGCGCAGGATCATTAAGTTTGTATTACTCCATGCTTAACGTTAGATATCAGTGGTCATTTTATACGATAGATGAGGAGATGAAAATATAGAGTTGATAGTTCCGTTAGAGAGTGAAAGCGACCAAAGGTCAATTTTGAAGAAGGAACGAATCGGGTTGATCATGTCCTTTAACAAACTCCCCGGATGGGGAGGGATGGTGTGGGATATCTCCCCTCGCAACCACTGGCAAAAGAGATGATCAACGATTTTCTCACGTACCTTCGATGTGCGACAAACCTGGAAAAACATGAGGCAAATTTACTCATCGCTGAGTTCCTGCACTTTATGTGATTTGTGAGTAAGCTAAACTCATATTGTGATATTGTCAATATACGATTATTGTCCATGAAAGCAATCGTGTGGAGTCCACTTGAGACTAGTCGATTTCATTGACTTCATTAGCGACAAAGGAAGACCAGTGATGCCAGCGAAAAATGTCACTCTGATTTTCAGTCAGAAGCACAATGCTGACTAAAAGTAAATTGGTACGCCCCTCGCGCGCCGCTAGCTCACCTCCAAGGAGCTGGATTACCGAGGTGAAGCTATCGGTTAAGTTGTGTGAGTAATACCCCTGTACGATACAAGCAATTGCGTTTACGTTGATTTTTTTGGTTTACTAATACAATCATGTTTCACGATCTGCTTCACCTCTCTCTGTACCTCATTGGCTGGCCTCTTGTGTTGAGAATCAAAAATCTTTGACAGTGGTTTGTTTACACTTCTATAGAGAACAACTGGTGCAAGTTTGATCAAAGTAGTCGATCGCGTTCAGAAATAACGTCAAATCGAACTCGAAAAAAGAAAACATATTGTGCACAAACGGCTAGAAAATCCGGAGTGGTCCGGTTTTAAGCTGGCTAAAGTGCGGAAGATGCCGAAAACAACAGTTTGTTGAGTGTTCAAAACCTTCAAGGAACCGCTGAGTGTGGAAACGAATCAGCGGACCTATGAACTAACTGGAACCAGGGATCGTCAGCTGCACAGCATGGTGTTGACGTGCGTTAATGCCAACCCCGGTCTTTCTATCCGAGATGTGGCCAGAAGGTACAACGCCAACTTTCAAACGGTGCGGAGCATCCTTGCCAGGGAAGGATGCAAGTCGTATAAATCCAGTAAACATCCAAACCGGCACATGAAGCAGAATTCCTTGGCCAAAAAGCGTGCTTGTACGACCGTTTTCTGACGAAACACAATGGCCGCACTTTGATCGATGACGAAATATGCACTCGATTTTAAACAGCTTCCCGATCAAAAGTTTTACATCGCGACTGAACGTGAGGATGTGCCGGGAAGTTCAAGTTCGTGTTAGCCGACAGGTTCGCGAAGAAGACCATGATTTGGCAAGCGATTTTCAACCATTCGTCACATCCTCGACGATGACATCTCAAGTATACATCGAAGAATGGCTGAAAAAGCGTGTATTGCCGTTGATCCGCAAGCATAGATGCAAAGTCATCTTTTGGCCCGATTTGGCCAGCTGCCACTACTCCAAGGTGGTTCTGGAGTGGTATGCTACCAACAAGATCGATTTTGTCCCCAAGCTAATGAATCGTCCGAATTGCTCGGAATTTCGACCAATCGAAAAATATTGGGCAATTTCACAGCAGCAACTTCGACGAAGCGGCGGGGCGGGCAAAATTGAAGAAATGCGCTGATTCCGTGTCCGTTTCCACTGTGCGGGCGCTGATGGGCTTCATCAATAAGAAGGTTCGAGATTTCGTTCGAACTGAAGAAATGTAACCATCTAATGCCGTAACTATGAAGTTTTAATAAAAGTACTGTAAAGCAACCATTAATGGACTTTTCAAACTTATTGAATCAAGAATTATAGGTCTTTTTGCGCGTACCAATTTGCTTTCAGTCAGCCTTTAGCTCACGGAATGTAGTTGCTCAATTCCAAGGATGTTTAGGGCGATAAATTTGCCTCATGAGATTAAAGTGCAAACTAAAGTCTATTTGTCTACATCAAAACAAAGTTGTTGGAACAAATCGTAGGTATGTAAATTAACTTTTTCCAGCTGTGCTAAACCGACATTCAAAATCCCAGCTTCCCATAGTAGCTATAGAAATAATAATTGTTTTGGAAAAGTGCTCTCCCTCGACTGTTTGTACAATTCTGAGTTTTGCAAATACCCTTCTAGCATTGCGTTAGTTGGAAAAAGTAAAACTTTCTAGCTACTGTTTGCTCGCCACACTTTCATCTAATAAGCAATGAAGTTATCTGCTCAAATTTCTACGAAACGAACGCAAGTTTGTATAATTACAAGTGGTAGACTCACCTCCAGAGGAATCATGATGAAGGCCACCATCAGGTCTGCCACAGCCAGATGGCAAATCATGAGACTGACGCGGGAGCGACGGTGGCGTCGAGAACGGAACAGGGTTATCACGACGGACAGATTGCCGCCGGCAGCAATGATGAACAGCACGCAGTACACGATGATGACGGCCACGGTTGAATCGGTGTAGCCTACGATAAAAAGCAGAAGGAGAAAAGTTCCATCATAATACCATCATCATTGTAGCTCCTACACACTTGGGGGAAATAATTAATCGACATCGGTAACAACAAAAAACGGCAAAGATGAATAATGGTACGGAGGGTTGTTTTCCTGGGATTGAGACTTTCCGTAAACAATCAGTAATTAACAGGCTCGTGTTGATTTTCCAAGGAATCAAATCATGACACGGTTCGATTCAAGCTTCTCTAGCCAAGGGCTAGATTCTATTGAATAAAACAGATCGTAATAAATTATCCATCAAGATAACCACTTTGCCGGTAACAATGGCGATAAATAACCTGGCCTTGAGCATTCCCGGTAGACATAGTACCAAGATTGCTGCCTATTTAGACGAAGTAATCTCTTTTTTTTTTGTCCGTTTTCGTCATGCTCGACTGTGGAGGTAAAAATCGCTCGTTCAACTTAACCTCCACAGTCAAGGACGGTGGGTATCTGCCTACTTCAAATTTTATGAGCAATATATTTGAATTGAGTTTCTGCGACCATGATATTTTATTCTGTTTTCGTAATAAACTGCAATGTAGAAATTTATAAAACCAGGAATTTAGAATTTGAATGAAGAAAGCTGTAAAAGTTATTCGATCGCAGTCCATACCTTTCCAACGCACGAACTCTTAAATGCAAACATAAACAACAATTTCAAGTCATGAACCACCGTAAAATGGAATATAAATCAGATTCAATAAATATTTCCCCAGTCGGCCCAATCCACTCCGACCGAACCATTCCAGGCTTAAACAGGCGACCGCATCGTTCACATCAATAGCCTACCGAAATCCAATAGCCTCTTCTGCCAAAACACACCCATAATCCCACCCACAATGAAATGTGGATCCAGCCGTAATAACCGTTTGACGGAAGTTTGATGATTATTTCCATTTATCTGAACCATAATTTGTGCACGCCCCTGACTGTGCAACCGCGGCGATAATAAACTGTGTCCACCTCCACCATCCCATCCTTTGTCTCGGTTGCTTGGATCCAAATGGGGTCGAGTTTCGTCAAGTTTGATGGCTCTGATGGTTCCACGGCACGCTTCGTTGCTGCAGTTCACTAGATTCAAAACCCCGCCGGATTTTCAGGGTATGTATTTGTGTTTGTGCTCGACGTGTGGTTGGTGTCATAAATCAGTCAGGAAAACTGTGGACTTTACGATTGCAACTTCATGGCCGTAAAAGCACCGGGTTGTGGAACAAACACAAGTTGCAAATTCAGTTTTTGTGGTTTTCCGCACTAGCAGTGGAAAAAATAATCAAGTTGTCGTCATATACCAAAAACAAACGAAACTAGTATTCTGACTTTTTTTTTAGAAGAGGAACTTTTAAATGACAAGCTTTTATGATAAAACACTGTTCACCCTTCCAAGAAAAACCAATCCATAGATGAAAGGTTTTCCATGCGAATAAGCGAAAATGTAATATTCTCTGTGTGACCCTCATCCCCTTCCCGCGAAGTTCCATTTCCATGTACTCGGTCGGCACTGTACTGGGCAAATTGTTTTGATAAAAACTTTTCATCAAAATGTTGCGCATAGTTTGGGGCTGCCACTGTCAGAACCATGCAGGCTATCTCATCTGTCTATCAGTTAAATATTTAGCTCAGTTCGGCAAAACAAAACAAAAAACGTACTTTAATAGCACACCGAGTTTGTTTGGGATGTAATTTGCCTCTGGGTGCTGATTGGCTGATTTTATCTGCTGATACTCGGGGCGAAACGAGTAAGTGTATTATGCAGGAAATGCTCTGTTAATTATCTTTATAATTGGAAATTTCACCCCCCATTAAACACTAAATTGAACTTTGGCCAATGCCTTTTCAGGAGTATAATTGACAATATTCAAGATGACAGTTTCTGCACGTCAAACTCGCCACCAGGGATGCCAGATTTGAAGACATGGTTTCAAGAGTTGATAATGGAAGAGTTACGCAGACTGAAGCCAAAATCTACATATGGAACTTGCCAAACCGTCTACCTATCGAGCATAGTAGACAAACTGACTCAGTTGCGTGGGAAGTATTGTTTGCACAAATCAGGATAATAGAGGAAACTTTCACAACCCAGGTGAAGTCATCCGAGGTGTAAATAAAAACAAAGGTTGCCCAAATTAAAAAAAAAAGCCCATTAATCGACATCAGTGTTGCAAGCTTCACTCTGCGTAACTCTCGAGGAGGACGACTCTATCTACGATGCAAAAAAGATTGTGTTTTGATGTGGCTAGCTGCGCGCACGCTGAGTAGATAGAAAGAAGATTGATGACGATTCTGAAGATTTCCTGCAAAAAGATGATGAGCGATGCAAGTAGATGCGACAAATGAAAGAAGATTTTTAGAAGATTGATTCGCTAGTGTGAGATTTGTTGAGCATCTAGACTTGAGATTTAGATGTGTCGCCCCCCTCGGTAACTCTTCTATTTTAAACTGTGATGTCAGGCATAACATTTGATAACGACACAAAAGCATTTGTAAACAAACTTTCTAAGGCCCTTTACACGTTAACCAAAATACGCCCACGCAAACCACCCAGCAAACCATAAATCGTAAAAGAATGTTCACATCAAGTCGTATATACACGCATATTAAATTAGAATTGCATATAACGGCAGCCAATATTGCATCAAGTTGTAAAAAGATTACATATAACGATTTTTTATGATTGAAATAAAACTTTTTTCCCTAGTTGCATAAATCACCGTATTTGTCCACCCGAAATCATATTGCGAGAAAGTTGATGAACATTACATATAGATACACATGAAGTTATTTTATATTGCATATCTTACTGTTTTTATTTATTTGATTGTGGAATCATTGTTCAATCTACGATTAAAAACAAATATTCGGAAAATCAGGAAAATCAGGCGGAGTATGAATACATTTGTTTAAAAAAAAAAGTTGACGCGAATCCGCAAAAGTGGAACGTACAGTCGCTTGCTTCAAAAGCATAAAAAAAGGATCATCCCTCAGATTTCTCAAAATAATTCGGATAAAAATAACGATGTGGACCAACAGCATTATTCTAGTTCATCGATTTCTTCTTCTGCTTCTGTCACCTCTGAAGAATTTAATGAGGCCACGGAAGCTTTGGATAATGAAATGAATACTCACGGTATGGATGATTCGAAAGAAATTTTAGAAGATATAGTTGAAAATGAACGATACCAAGGTTAAACCCAATTTTACTAAAAGTAATTTAACCATTTTTAAAAAATAGCTGTACTTTCATTCTTAGGATCACTTCAATCTGAAATCCGGAAATGGGCTTCGCAATATCAAATATCGCAAGCAGCTTTGAAATCGTTGATTGGTGTGCTCAATACTCACTTGCAGGTGGATCTACCAAAAGATCCCCGCACTTTTATGAGAACCCCTAGAGCTTTGGAAATCATAACCATGAAAAACTATGGTAAATACTGGCACCATGGCTTGGAACGTGGCCTACAAAAGCGCTTGGAGCATGTTGCTGTGGATATGAATGTATCCCTTAACATCAACATTGATGGTCTTCCCATATATAAGAGCAGTGCCAATCATTTTTGGCCAATTCTTGTGAATACCCATGAGTTATCACACATTTCTCCAATCATCGTTGGTATTTACTATGGAGCAAGCAAACCAAAAGATGCCAATGAATTTTTATCTCCTTTCATCAATGAGCTTACATCAGTTCTTAATTCAGGTGTGATAATTAATACTCACAAAGTTTCCGTAAAAATTCAAGCGTTTATATGTGATTCTCCCGCTCGGGCCTTTATTAAGTGTGTAACAAACTATAACGGCAAGTTTGGATGCCTGAAGTGTATGACGAAAGGAAAATATTCCCATGAGACAAGAACCATGATCTTCCCAGAAGTGAATGCAGAGCTACGGACTAATCAAATGTTTCGAGAGAATAAATACCCAGAGCACCAACGTGCCGTGTCTCTACTTACGGAACTACCGATAGACATGATAGATGATGTCGTTGTTGGAGATGCGTTACATTTATTAGAGTTAGGCATTATGCGGAAGCTGATTAATTCTTGGCGTACTGGATGCATGACGAAACGAGCGAAATGGAGCGCTTACGGAAAACAGGTTATCTCTGAATATTTGGTTGATTTAAGGTTCCCTGTAGAGATTCACCGACGTATGCGTTCGTTGGAACATATTTCACTTTGGAAAGGGTTGGAATATCGAATTTTTTTGAACTATGTAGGAGTTGTGCTTCTAAAAGATCATCTACCACCTACATAAGTATTATGAACATTTTTTATTATTGTTTTGCGCAGTCCGTATTTGTTCTGTGGAAAGATACAAATTATTTTTACCAATCGCGAGAATGCTCTTAATTGAATTTATAAATGATTACAAGATACTGTATGGTACGGAGTTTATCACAAGTAATGTACACAATCTTTGCCATATTGTAGACGAAGTGGAAAAATTTGGAACATTAATATCTCTTTCCGCATATCCTTTCGAAAATTGCCTACATTCATTGAAAAAGCTGGTGAAACCCGGTCCTAATCCGTTAGCTCAAATAGCCAACCGAATAACAGAAGCTGAATGTAGTGAAAAATCATCAAAATTACAGCATTTCTCCAAACTTACTTTAATCAGTGTCATAAAAAACGAAAAAGTATGCAAAATTACCTTTCCATAATTTATTTTGACAAACAAGTTTACCAACAAATGGTTTCTCACAAATACATTAGAATTAGTTGGAATGACAGATGTTCATGAAGATGAAGATGAAGTATTAATCAAAGGACAACATTTGTTGGAAATGGAAAATTTCTTCCCAAAACCAATGGATTCTTCTTTTCTTCATGTATTCAGCTCAAAACTTGTGAAAGAAAATTTTTCAAATGCTAATTTCTATAGACCTGATTTGATTTTATGTAAAATGGTTCCTATCAACCGTAAAGATAAAACTGTATTCATACCACTTATGCATACAATGGCAAAT